ATATATATATATACACATGATGTATAATCTTTAGCCTCCATCTTGCATACAATCATTATATACTTACAACATAATCTGTAGCCTACCTGATGCATATAATCGTTACGCGTGTGTAATCTGTAGCCTATGATGCATAATCATTATGTTTTTACAGTGTAATATGTAGCCTATGATGCATAATCGTTATGTTTTTACAGTGTAATCTGTAGCCTCCATGACGTACAATCATTACGCTATACAATATGATCTGTAGCCTCCAATACAGTAATAATCATGTGAGTGTAATCTGTGACCTCTATAATGCACAATCATTACACATGCACCGTATAATAATATGTAGCCTACATGATCCACAATCATTACATATAGAATATAATAATGTAGCATCCATGATGCACAATCATTATAGGCCTACATTACATTATAATAGACTGTAGCCTACTTTGTGCATAATCATTACACATGCACAGTGTAATACGTAGCCTTCATAATGCCGTTCCAGGTCAGCAGAAAGAGTTCCCCGGCCCCAATGACCCCGAGCGTCCCAAAGCGATGTACCGCGCCGCCTGCAAGAAGATGGGTATCACCCCGTGCAAGAAAATCCTCCGGAATATCCCGACAGGAGTGATCAACATAGCCCACCAAGGCGTTGGGCCCAGAGGGGCGAGGGCACTAGCCATAGCTTTAGTGGTCAGTTTTCAGTTTGTTGATACCGCAATGAAGAACTAAAAAAAAAAATAATGTCAATAAAGCGTAGACGTTGAGCTCGGTATACGCACGAGCGCACATGCACACATACACACGCGTGCGCACATGCACACACGCACACATACACACACACATACACAGACACGTACGCGCACACCCAATCAGACAAAGAACATAAATATACCCTGATGTAGTTCATTTTCTACCCCCCCCCCCCAAAAAAAGAAGAAAATAATAATAAAATTTAAATTCTATACCAGTCGCTACAACAGCATCACTAAGACTACAACAACAGTAACTTCACTGCTTATACCAGTTTGTGTGAGTATGTGTGTGTGTGCGCGAGCGCGCATGAGCGCGTACATGTGAGTATAAGCGCGTTCGAGTGTGTATGAATGTTTGTGCGAACGTGGGTGTGTATGCGTGTGTGTGTGTGTGTGTGTGTGTGTGTGTGTGTGTGTGTATGTGAGAGAGAGAGAGAGAGAGAGAGAGAGAGAGAGAGAGAGCGTGTGTGTGTATCCCCTGTCCAATACTCACGTGTACTCTAAGTCTGGGTAGAGCTGGGAGAAAGTCCTCTTGTGAGTACGTCATGTCCGGCCCGTCACCGTTGTGTGTCACGCGTTGTGGGGGCATTGTGTGGGTGTGTATGTATGTGTGTGTGTGTATGTAT